CCCTTTCTGTCGGTGATTAATGATGGTAGAACATGTATTGATTGTATAAGGCTTTGCTTGTGCTGGTTTCAGGTGGCAGAGAATGGTAGGTAGATAACAGAAAATGGTAGCCCACAGTAAGAGAGAAAGTTGTGCGTGTGTTATTAGTTTTTGTTGTTTGGGTTTTTGTTGTTGGGTTTGGTTTTGTTTTTTTTTTTTTTTTTTTTTTTTTTTTTGTGGCCTTTAAATTTATTTTTAATGTGAAGCTTTTTCCTTTTTTTAACTTTTTTTTTTTTTCCTCCCTGCCCCTCACTTTGCCAAAGACCATGAACGAAAGAAAGAAGGAGCGAGAAGATATTTTATAGGTGGGGAAGTGTGCTGTGGTGTTGAAACCTGCATCACAGCATCCCATGGCACAACACTGAGAGAATGAAACTTCGGTTTTACTTGCAATAGATACAGTTCATTAAACTCTCTCTTCTAGATATGTGTATACACAAACACGCACAGTTAGTTTTCATTGTACACATGCTAATTAGAGAATTAAAATGGCTTTTCCAAATGTAGCACAATTTATTAAGGCTGCTTCCCTTAATGCAGCTTGCATGCAAAAATGAAGTACTTAGGATGTGGCTCTGATTTTGTGTATATGACTGCAGTTCCTGCTGAGATTGGGCTGTGAACAAAGGGGAGAATTTGTTTTCTATTTCTTTATATCGGCTTTATACACTGTAATTTGCCTGATGGACTTGACTGACGTTCTCAATGCAATGTAAACTCTCAGATGCGTTTGCATTTTCCCTTCTTCTCTCTCTCTCCAATCCATGGCTTTCGTCAGTGCATCAGAGCTGCCCTAAGTCCACATATCATCTGTTTTTTCAAACTTGAGGATTAAAAATAGTGATAGCAATAATAGTCAGAAGATTTGGAACTAAATTTGGGAGACTGGAGAGGATGTAAAAAGTCAGTCTGTGGAGATCGATGTAATCAGGAAAAATGTTTACATGTACAAAATTATTTGTGGCATAACCACCTTAGTAACTGCTGGAGATCCTTAACCCAGGAAAGCCTTTCCTTCATGCAGAACAGCTACTGTGCTTGCACTTCTAAACTATTCTTTTCTTTATTTAAGAACCAATTCCTTGCCTCTTCAGAGCACTTTTAAAAACATGGCTAGATAATTTTCTTCTTTCCTGAGCAGTTACATAAATAGATGCATAATGCACTAATTGCAATAATTATTTTTGCTCTTGGAATTATCGTTAATTGTCCAGATAGCTAAATGTAGATCATTTTTATTTTAACCGTGCTTCCCTGCCCCTGTCCTCCATCCCAGAGTTCCTGCAGTTGTTTTCTTTCACTCTCCTGGTTCATCCCCTCTCCCTGCGCTCTAGCAGAAGGTCTCTCCTGATTTCTCCCCTTTGGCTCGTTGCATCTCCAGACCAAACAGTTCCAGGGTGCCAAGCCAAGGAGGTCCAGCAGCTGTCTTCCCCTCTTTTGTCCTGTCCTAACGGTGATGTGTCCTTCGCATTTCCCCCTATTTCATCATCAGATGCATGCAAGCAGCATGGAATCCTCTACAAACATCTCTGCCTGTCTCTCATGAGAGCTGCACCAGCAAAAGCGGTATGCCATGAATCATGAGAGCTGGCAGTGCTGCATATATCTCGATGTTCAGGAACAAGCAGAGGGTCAGCTCTTCAGGTGAGACCTTTGGGGCAGCGTTTTCTGCTTCCTCGGCTGCAAATCACAGCTTAATCTTCCTCCTTCGCCACTTGACCCCTTTCCTTCAAAGTTTGATTCATGTTTCTCCTTGAACATCCTCTAACTTGGAAGATGGTTAGGGAGCAACGAGTGAATATTTGGTAGGTTTATAGCCTTGGCTATTAGGAAAATGATAGTGTTTGTGGGTATATAGTAGAATCGCCACACTTTCATACTTTCATACTAACTAGGTGACTGTCACTCTACCTAAATTGGGACTTAGGCAGGCAAAGGGGAACAGGGATTCATGGTGAATAGTGGTCCTGCCATCGGACATTTAGTACCGTAGTCTGTATACTGCAAAAGTATTTGCTTAGCTAGCTGTACAATCCTGCTAAAAAAAAAAAAAAGAATAAAAAAACCCCAAAGTTCCCTCACTTCTTTTCAAATTCATACAGACTTTCTGAGTCTTATGCGCAGGACTTATAAGGGCATCAGATAAGAGCAGGCTTCTTACTGTCAAATTAGGCTATTCCCTTGTCTGAAAATGGTTTCTCTCCCTTTGATAGCTGAGTCATTCAGAATAAGGACTGTATACGCGGCAAGTGAATTTGGGAGAGTTCATCCCAAATGGAGTGTCAGCTCTAGTTAGCGAGACAGATTTGGTCACTGATGTGTGAGTAGGGTGTATATCAGACCCAACAGTGAATAATCTTGGTCAAAGCTTTTCCCAGAGCCAGCACAAATACTTATGTTTATTGGAGCTGGAAGTCCTGGCAACTGAAACATAAATGCCTGTAAGAAGCTCTAGATGGAGTTGGCTGAATACAATTGACCCTGGATTAATTGGGAAGGGAATGGGAGAAAAAAGGAAAAAAGGGGCATGGAGCTGGGGTGAAGAGCTAGGGCCAGTAGGCAATGCTGACAGCTTTCTCCAGTGATGCTTGGCAACAAACAGCTTGTTAAGTACTGATATATTGCAGGAAAAATCGACTGTTTTTTGTTTTTTTTTTTCTGACCTTTGGTTTAACAATCCAAGCTCCCAAGATATTTGTCTGCCTCCTTAGCCAGAGGGTGTGGGATGAAGGGGTTCTCCGACATTAGGCACAAAAGGTAACTAGCTTTTAATTTTGGCAAATAAAATTAAAAGCCCAGATAAAACACTGTCTCCAAGAGACAGTGAAAACCAGTGTCCCAACACCCCCAAAAAAGAGACTGGAAATGAAACCGTCCTTGTAACCTGGGCAATGTTTTCTAAAAAGTATGATATGCTCCCCTATATCAGTCTTGCCCACATGTGTTCATTATTGACCCAACACATCAAGGGTGAAGGATGCCTTTGCCCAGGTGAACACAGAGGCTTGAGCTCAGAGGCATCACCTTTTATGATAAATGTTACTGGGAGGATAAAGCTTCCTTGTGTACCACCAGAAGTGTTTTGGTTTTTTAATTCCTGGGAACAAAATTTAACAAAAAAACAAAAAAAGGTCTTGCATTTTTTTACAACCTGACCCAGTCTGTGAGACTTGGGGTTGTTCAGCATGGAGAAGTATCCAGGGAGACGTTATATCAGACTTCCAGTACCTAAAAGAGGCTACTGGAAAGATGGGGAGGGACTCTTTATCAGAGAGTATTGGGATAGGATGAGGGGCGATGGTTTTAAATTGAAAGAGGATAGACTTAGATTAGGTATTAGAAATTCTTCCCTGTGAGGGGGTTGAGGCCCTGGCACAGGTTGCCCAGAGAAGCTGTGGCTGCCCCCTCCCTGGAAAGGTTCAAGGCCAGGTTGGACGGGGCTTTGGGCAACCTGGGCTAGTGGAAGGTGGCTCTGCCCGGGGCAGGGGAATTGGAATTAGATTATCTTTAAGGTCCTTCCAACCCAAACCATTCTGTGATTCAGTGATTCTATGATATCTCCTTGTTGGACATTTAACCTTAGCTCATTGAATGTGCAAGGTCAAGAACAAATGTTGCAGAGTTACAGTCATTGCTCATAACCCTTTTTTAAAGTGACTCTGCGATGTAGCCCATGAGTCTTCACTCTGTGGCATTTTTGGATCCTTTACCAGTCATTAGCAGAAGACTTTACCTATTCAGGGAGGAATTATAAGAAGGATATTTTGGGGGCTTTTAATAGTGATTAGATTTTTTAGTGTGTTCATACTTCAAAATGTGTTGATTTCTCCTGATTTAAGGAAAAGCCCAAATAATAGCTTTCACTTCCTTTCCCCCATTGCCATCATTATTTTTTTTTTTTTAAATGTGCGTATTATTGAAATAGGCAGGTTTCTTTCTGCAACTGAGAGGGCTCTGCTCTACATCTACAGTGAGAAAATAAACCTGCTTTTCTGATTGAATTGGTAGGGCAATCCTGGTTAAAATGGTGCATGGCAGAGAATTCCTATGGCCATGAGTGTCCGAGTTTCCCGTCTGAGCAGTATTAGTGAACACACACGCACAAAGCGCTCACTGTCTGCAGAAGGCTGATGAAGTGCATGCTTTCTGATGTATAATACTTTATTTTATTAGGGCTGTGCTGCAGAACTGATTAAGGTGCAGGACTGCAAAGGAGTTTCAAAGTATTTTCTAAATGGAAAGCTCGGTTTGAGACCTGAGCTGCTTTGGAGTGAAACAAAGGCAACTGTCCTGGAAGAGGCCAAAAGTGAAGCTTTTGGATTACTTCTCATAGTGGCCTTTTGGCTGAACATTTAACCTGGGAATGCAAATTGTGCCAAAATGCATATATACTTTGCCATATTCTTTGCTGGGATTAAAGTGAACTCCATCTTGCTCACCCATTTCCCATAAAATTTGCTGCATCGCCAGAAGATTTTTTTAGGGGTGAGTAAAATCACTTCAGCAGGTTTTTTTTTTGCCACCACACAACCCTGAAATTAAGTGATGCCTATGGTGAAGCACTGCCAATGTGCCCTATGCAGAGTGTCCCATTTGGGGTGGTCCTGGGACAAGAAGCATCCCTATCCAAGCTTAAAGCCAATATGAACAGTAAGAATCAACGAAAGATTGTCAGTGAGCTCCTCAGTTCACTCAGGCTCAGTCTGAGCTGGTTTGCTGGATTTGTAGAAGCACTTTTGAAACTCACTGACATTCAGGACTGTCCGGATCCAATGTTGGGTGAGGTTTTGATACAATTCTAAGAGTGAGATTAAGACACAAACAATGTC